GGCAGCACTGGTCATTATCTAGGAAACTTTCAGGATATTATTTCCTGTCAAAGGACTTCCTTCCTCTTCTGTTATCATAACTGCTTACTCCACTAACAGTTCCCAGTGAGCATGATGCTTTATTTAAAGGGAAGGAGATTTCAACTCTTTCTTAGCAAGCCTATTGTAAAAAGGGCTTGAGGCACAAGAAAGGGTTTTTTCTCTCTCTTCTGGGATGATGACTATTCAAGCAAAATCCTCAGGGGAACACCTATACAGATTTCTAGAGCTCTTTTTCTGTGTATTTCTAGTAATCTACCCCCCCAAATTCTACCTTCTTGGTCTATCTGAACTCAGATCTTTGCCTTCTCAACTACAAAACAGAAAGACCCTGATGTTCTGTTTGTACTGTCCCTCCATGCACCATGATCCAAAAACAGTCTTGAGGCAGATATCCAGGTATTGTATGGCTCTCTTTCTCTTTTCGCAAAGACTTCCTTGTGTGTTTTTTAATGTGTGATAATTGTTTTATATGTTTTGTCCAGTTTTCTAATTATTACAGCAGAGGAAGTCTTATGGACACTAGTCCTTCAGGAATAGGAGCAGAAGTAAAGGTAAGTATTTCATTTTATTTTTTTTATTTATTTTTATTTTTTTATTTTTTCATCTTCTGAGCCATAAATATAACTCAGTACATTTATTTATTTATTTATTTGGCTGTTGTCATTTTTTTTAAAATTTTATTGTTACAGATGTTTCTCCTTTTTTACCCCAATGACATCCCCCCTTCTCCATCCCCCCGCCCTGCCCCTGACTTTGTTGTCCATGTCCATTGGTTATGCATACATGCATATAAGTTCTATGGTTTATCTCTTCTCACCCCCCATCACCCCTCTTCTGAGGGTTGTCAGTCTACACCCTACTTCCGTGTTTCTGGGTCTACCCTATTCCTCAGACTGTTATATTCATTATATTCCATGTATAAGTGAGATAATGTAGTATTTGTCTTTTTTCTGCTTGGATTATTTCACTTAGGATAATACTTTCCAGTTCCCTCCATGTCATCTCAAAGGATAAGAGATCTGTCTTTCTTACAGCTGCATAGTACTCCGTTGTATATATGTACCACTGCTTTTTGATCCATTCGTCTACTGATGGACACTTGGGCTGTTTTCAGATCTTAGCTATTGTAAATAGTGCTGCTATGAACATGTGGGTACATATATTCTTTCTGATTGGTGTTTTATTTTTTTATTTATTCTTTTTGTTTTGTTTTGTTGTTTTTGTTTTTATCCTCACCCAAGGACATTTTTGCATTTATCTTAAGAAAGAGCAGGAGGGAGGGAGGGAGGAAGAGAAAGAGAAACATCAATGTGAGAGAGACACATTGACCCCACATGACCCCAACCGGGGCTGAGGACAAACTGCAACTGAGCTTCGTGTCCTTAGTGGGAACCGAGCCAGGGTCTCTCTGATCTACGGGCTGACACTCTAACCAAACCGGCCAGGGCAAAGTAAGTATTTTAAACTTATCTTTCCAAAGGATAAAATTAAACTGTACAAAAGTTAAAGTATGTGATCCGAGTACCAGAGCTAGTAAGTACCAAAGTAAACCTTAAACCAATATTTTAAGAGCCTGGCTGCCAAGTTCATTCACTCATCCTTGGACAGGGCTCTTTAAATTTATAGCAGTGAAAATATTTCATGTGTTTTATACTTATGGACACATATGAATTATAATATGGAACTTATGCATGAGTCAGGATGTTTCTTCATGACAACAGCAATCAAGAAGTGCTGGATGTCAGCATTTTGAGAATAAAGCATACCCCCTTGGATGAAATAGGGGCTGGAAGGTAAGCTTGTCAGGGTAGAGCTAATGTATTGTATAAACTACATAAAAAGCTTGGGCATAATTTGGGCACCAAATCATTGAAAAACCAATCGTGAAGTTGAAGAACTGAGTCAGTGAATCTGACGACAGGGATTTGGGAGCCATGTGAGCAAAGAATAATAATGGAAGAGGATTCTCTATATGCTAACAGGGCCTCGGGCAAGAGCATGTCTCAATGGAGAAGTCAAATGATCCTGTGTATAATGAGGCTCACTAAGAATTATTGAGGTATGACCTGGGAGATGTGTATCCCTAACTGATAGCAAAAAATCACTCTGAGTACTAGAGTCAGACTAAGCTTTCTGGTTGGAAGGTCAGCTGGTGCGAGTGAAGAAAATTGTTAGGGGGAATTACCAACTGTGACTTCCAGTTTCTATCAGGAAAACAACAGCAATTAGTATTTTTGATGACTCTTACTGATAGTAACTTGGTTAACTTGCTTTGAAAGATCAGATCAGCCCTGGCCGGTTTGGCTCAGTGGTTAGAGCGTCGGCCTGCGGTACAGAAAGATCAGATCATAACATTACCCTAATTAAGCAATAACAGTTAAGACAAGGAATATTTTCAAAAGTCATATTAATCTCAAAGAAACCCAACCCCTTCTTTGTGTTCACTTACATAAATACCACAGAATTTTCACATTTTTTTAATGGAAAACAAAAATAATTGGCATTTTTATCTTTGTCTAATAGCCACTAAAACATGTACTGAAAAGATTCAGAAGAAAGTGATTGTTTTAATTCCATTCATTGAGACAATGTGACTCTAAGCAAGACTTGAAGTAGACAGGAACAGTAACCTTATTTATGCATATATAAGTATGTATATGTACTTGTTGACTGTTAAAATCAATGCAAGATTTACAAAATTTTAACTGATATGAAAAACCACTTCATTATTCTAAAATATTTAAGACTACAGTATTTATCTAGCGAGTCCTGAGAAAATCGTGTTTAAAATTACACTGGGGGATATGGCTGAGGAAAATGTATTTCTCTTACTATACATATTTTCTCACCAGAGAGTATAAATGGTTTGTGTGGACTGAAATTAAGCACATGAGACCAAACAAAAATGCTGTAAATTGTAGATATAAAAAAAAATTACACCAAAGCAAATGTTCTGCAGTGTGCTAAATTAAAATAGTTTAGTAAGGCATGAGGGGGAAAAGCTATTAACTGGAAAAAATTGAATTTCCTACCATAACTCTCTTGCAGTACAGCATCCAAGCATCTGTGTGAACACCTCCAGTAAGAAGGCCAGGGCACGAGATCATCTGTCTAAAGTACACAGAGCGGGGAGATCTTCTCTTCCATATTGATTACAATCTCCTACCAAATAGCTATCATGTCATAACGATTTCCCTTGCCTCCTTGTGAACAAAAAGTCAGAGATATAGTCTCTGGTGGCCCTAGACTTGGTGGATTTATTTGCCCAATATGGAAAACTATAGAATGAATACATGGACTAGGTATTTCATTTCAAGTACGGTAGAGATGTCATTGTGATACTTTTTTTTTTTTTTAAATGTAGAAAATAGTCATGATTTAACTGCATAAAACCAAAAATTATTATTATTTTTTTTTATCCTCACCCGAGGACATTTTTCCATTTTTTTTTGTTGTTGTTGTTCAGATCGAGTGGGAGGGAGAGAGAGGAAGAGAGAGAGAGAGAGAAACATCGATGTGAAGGGACACATCGAGTGGCTGCCACCCTCACAACCAACCAGGGCCGGGGACAAACTGCAACTGAGGCACATGCCCTTAGTGGGAACCGAACCTGGGTCTCTCTGCACCGCAGGCCAATGCTCCAACCGCTGAGCCAAACTGGCCAGGGCCAAAAATTAATTTTTAAAAGTCTTCAAATAACTGTGGGACTGTCCACATTTTGCTGTAGTTATGGAGGCACAAGAAAAAACTAGAAGGAACTTTAAATAACTTGTAGTTCAACCTCTCAATTTGACAGACTAGTGGGCTTGCAGCAGGGAGCCTGACTTCCAAGTGGCAGATTCAGGGCTCGAACTCACATCAGTGGGTCTGCAATCCAAGCCTACCTTTCTTTTAGCAAACTGTTTTAGTAGTTCTGCTACAAATCACTGTCTTAGAACCTGTGTAACTTTTGCAGTATTCCTTAACCATTTTATGCCCCAGGTTTCTTAGCTGTAGAATTGAGATAATCCATAGAAATAAATATGAGAATCTATATAAAACACAGCTCAGTGCCTAGTTCATAGTTAACCTCAATACACACTAAATTTAAAAAATATATATTTTTTATTGATTTTAGAGAGAGAGGAAGGGAGAGAAAGAGAGAGAGATAGAAACATCTATGAGAGAGAACATTGATTGGCCACCTCCTCATGCCCCCCACTGGGGGCTGGGCCCACAACCTGGGCATGTGCCCTGACCAGGAATCACACCAGCAACCTCTTGGTGCATGGTTCAACACTCAACCACTGAGCCACACCAGCCGGGCGCAGTACACACTAATTTTTAAGAGTAGCTTAAGATGTTGCTGCTTTTGTTGATATTATTCAACTACAATTATAAAATTAATTTGTATTTGGTGGCTGTTCTCTGTGTGTCAAGGATATCACTAAATGTTTTACCTGGATTAATTCAAATCTGACAATAATCTTATTACATACTAAAACCAAATAGTTCTTCCCACATGGAGCTGAAATGAAAATGATCTTTTAACTGTTCTGCTCTATGTTTTTAACCTATTTTTTTAGACACATGAAGATGTGCCACCTCAGTTCTGCTATTGTAAGATTATTTGGCAGCTCTAGTATATGACCCAAAAGAATAATAAGAGTGTAAAACAGTTCTGGCCTCCCTGCTTCTTACCACTGCATTTCTTCTTAAACAGGGGCATCATCTGAGGGAGAAAAGCACACTCGTGGAGGATGAAGACAATGTTCAACTCTGGGTTTTGGTTTACCTATCAAGAAAATGGTGTGTATGTGTGTGTGTGTGTGGGGGGGGGAGTTATAGAGAGTTGTACTGGATAATCTCTGTAGAGCTTTAAAATCTATTATCTGTGGTATGTTTTAATTTTAAAACAGGAAGACTGGTTCTCTGACTGGTTCTTTCTACCTTGTATGGCTTCTCAGTGAGACTGATGAAACTACTCCAGAAGTTAAGAAACTCCAATGAACAATACAGGGAAGATTAGCAGGGCCCCCGTGCAAGAATGACATGCAAATTTGTGAAGTGTTCCATATTTAAAAAAAAGAAAAAAAGATGGAAACTCCAATGAGTTTAAACGCAGTTTGATACACCTACGGTCAACCTTATTTGGTTCCTAAATTTGGTTTTCTTAACTTGGATATCTGCTTTTTCATCTATCAGCTTGCAGCACACACTTTAATTTCAGTGTCAAGTTTTGGTTACATTGCTGATAAAAAAATTTTTTAGCTGTATGTATGGATTTCTAACCTCAGCCTTGTTTAGTATTAGATTTGTGACTAAACATAGGTTTAGAGAACATACTTAGAAATTCAGAACCTCCACAGCTGCTAAACCTACTGAAAAACTGTAAGAATTCATTCTTACATATAATTTCCCATTTTCCTTTAAAGTTAATAAACATAGTTTAAATATTTTGTAAATCTTTTATCTCTTTTTAGTCATTATATTGGAAAATATATATTTTTCTTCTTATAGTATGTTGAAACAATGTCACAGAGACATCTGTAGTTCACTCGTTTGAAAATTTTGGAGTTCATCGGGGTCTAGGCTAAAATCTACCCAAGGACGAAACAAACAAACAAACAAACAAAAAACCCCAGCCAAATGACAGTATTATCAAACTTTGTTTACATATTTAATTATTCTAATTGTCTTTGAAACTCTATACCATAATATCTATAATCAGTTCACTGGGAGCTTTGAAATGTTCTTCCTTTTCAAAAACCGAGATAAGTCATTATTTCAGAGACTTCACCATTTTTCACTGCTAAAGTTCTTGCACTTTAAAAATGAAAAAATCAGCCCTGGCTGGTTTGGCTCAGCAGGTAGAGCATCGGCCCATGGACCAATGAGTTGTGGGTTTGATTCTGGTCAAGGGCATGTGTCTTGGTTGAGGTTCGTCCCAGGCTCTGGTAGGGGTCATGCGGGAGGCAACCAGTCAATGTGTTCCTCTCACATCAACGTTTCTTTCTTTCTCTCTCTCCCTCCCTCCCACTCTATTTGAAGATAAATAGCAAAATATCCTTGGGTGAGGATTAAAAAAATAAAAATGAAAAAAAATCATACTGCATTTCCTAAGTAACTATACCACAGTATACTTTTAAATGTACACATATCCATATAATAAAAATAGTGTACATTTGTTAAATTGCTATCAGATGACTGGTACTATGCTAAGCCTTTTACATGGCTTACTTTTTTATTCCTCACAATTACACAGTGTTGCAGGTATGGTTATTGATTCTCATTTTTGTCACAATAATTGAGGCAAAGAGAGGTTAATTAACTTGCTTAAGGAGACACAGCTAGAAGGGGGTAGAGGTGAGTATTGAACCCAAAGTATCTGATTACAGAACTTTTGCAGCTGCTACACTTACTACCTCCAATAGTAACTATTATTTATGTGTATTGAAATGGATGTCTAATATGAATTAGTAAATATGTATCTAATAAATGAATGATTGAGTAACCCATTAGATGAGACAGCCTAATTCCAGAACTACATTCATGTTACCTAAACCATGTCATTTTTATATACTGAAGAAGTAAATGTAAGTTAAAGTCTTGCTTTTAAATTCATTTAGGATTTGAAAATAACTGTAGGGAAAAAAGTTAAAGTAAATAAGATTAGATTTCAGAGTTTCTGGTTTCTTGGGGAAAAATGTAAAATTCAATTGAAGTATTTCCCAGGGCATACGAAGATTAAAAGAAAAGTAATGTAAGTAGGTGGGCACCAATAGCCTATCAGAGAATTCGTCTGTGGTTATCATTGCTCCAGGTGAATAAAGTATTAAACCAGCATCGCTGTCCACGCCTCCAGCTCTCGAGCATTCTCCTCTCCGTGTGCTGAGTAAGTTCAATTCCTTCTGCTCCAGGGGTCCTCATATCTTATGAGCTTCAAAACAATGGAGTTTGTTCTGGCCAGTTTGGGGGACTTGGGTCCTCATATTTTATGAGCTTCAAAACAATGGTGTTTGCCCTGGCAGGTTTGGTTCAGTGGTTAGAGTGTCGACCTGCGGTCCAGAGAGACCTGGGTTCGGTTCCCCCTAAGGGCATGTACCTCAGTTGCAGTTTGTCCCCGGCCCTGGTTGGGTTGTGAGGGTGGCAACCACTTGATGTGTCCCTTTCCCATCGATGTTTTTTTTTCACTCTCTCTCTCCCACTCTATCTGAACAAAATATCAAAAAAAAAAAAATGGAGTTTGCCTTAAAACTGGAGTATTTCCAGTTTTTCTTATGTTCATAGCTCGGAGATCCTTCGTGACAAAGGTGTGTATCTATTTCAGATATAAAACTAATCAACAATGCAGAACTTCTACTTAGACTTTATGTCATATTATTTCTGGCAACCTCTCGTTGTTGATCTATTTCTTAAAATTAAAGACCCAGTTTCTGAAAACAAGTGACCCTAAATATTGTCGATGAAATGTGTATCCCTTTAGAATTCTTTCATGGTGGTAATCATCCGTCCAACTGAGAATTTAAACAGACCAGACAGGCAGAGCACCTAATGTGTGGAATGTGGCATTTTAAAATATTTGAAAGATTATTCCTCGGTTATACTAAGCTAATTAAATCATTAATCTGCCTAGTAAGCTGTCTTTTATAGTCTTACCATGAATCCAAAAGGGAAAAAATACACTAGAGTAGTTCGAGAGAAGAGCCATAGCTGGTTATCTATCAATCAATCTATCTGTCTAAAACTTCAACCCCGGCTCTTTGAAAAACTCGATCCCCAACATTCCATTACAGAGCCTGGCTCTCTTGAGAGTCCTTGAACCTGCTAGGCATTCTCCTCCCATGGGCTCTTGGACTAGGTGCTAACCCAGCTGGAACTCTCTTCATCTAGATATCAGCATGACCAACTCCCACAGCCGCTCAAATCTTTGCCTACTTCTTATCTACTCAGTGAGGTCTACTTTTATCACCTATTTAATAGTATAGTCGGCTTCCCACTTCACCTCTGGGGACATTAAAATCTTTTAACATACTGTATAAATTTACTATTATTGTATATTATCTACCTTTCCACATTTGTACTCAAGTGTCACAAACAGGGTTTTTTGCTGAAGTGTCCCAAAATCCCAAATACTACCTAGAGCATGGTAAATGCTATATCAGTATTAAGTTTATTTGATGAATGAAATATTCACTTCTCTCTCTCTTTCTCTCTCTCTCTCTCTCTCTATTAACTTCATTCTATTTTCTGTGTAACTTTAAGTACATAAGGATTTATTTCTACAGGCTTCAGGAAATGGGTAGAAGACAAGGGACAACACCCCCCCCCCCCAAAAAAAAGCAAAGTTGCATATTTTGGTATGTGTTTGTCCTAGAGGGGAAAACTGAAGTTTACATTAGCAGCGCTGGGCAAGACTCTTACATAAGACCTACAGCCAGCCTGCCGTGGAGGTTTCAGTCCTTCGTTCAGGTGCCCAGACAGAAGCCAAAACCTGTTGAGCACGACGGGGCAAAGGAGACAGTGAGGATGGGTCGTAGGCACCTAGACTGGAAGGAGGAAGGAAGGCTAGGTTCCTTGGAATTGTGAGGTGTTTCTCCTTTTTTATCTACGTAAGACATCTGTAGGAAGGTGCTGGGCAGGGATCCCAGTGACAGAAAAGGGCTGAGACCCCTGAAACTGGCCTGGGTACCGGGCACCGCCACAGCAGCAGGTACAGGAGAACCGACTAGCACAGGCTCAGGCAGAGCCAGGACGGAATGCAGAAAGCAATGCTTGTACGAGACAACTTTGCCAGATGGCCAAGCAACAGTCTTCGGTCCAGGGCAAACCTTGCCTCACTGGTCAACAGAGAAAAACCAGTCTGTTTAGAAGAACCAGCTAGAATCACACCCGCTTCTGCTACCTTTATGCTCATTGCTTGGAAAATACTAATTTGTGTGAACTTTTCTGAGCTGTTAATTCCTAGGGACTGCTTTACTCTTCCCAAAAGGCTCTTTGCTGGTAGAATAATCCCAAAGGCTGAAAGCCGGAACGCACCGGTCCGGCCTGCAGTTCCTTAAGCACGGGCTGGAGTGCGGGTGAGCTGATAAGGAAAAGCTACACCTCCCTGCAGATGGTCAACTGACCTGCAACCCATCCAAATCGCGGCCCGCGGTGTGTTCCAGTGAAGGCAGGTGCCTGTGTTTCTCAAAGAAGAGAAGCAGTATAAGAGCAGAAAGGTAAAGGAAATCGAGCATAGAACTCTTTTGATAAATATTTATCCCAACGTGTAAGGAAGCAGGCAACAAACCCACTGGCACTTCACGTATCCAGCAACTTCTGTCACTGTGGCAACCAATCCCTCGGGTCTTGAACTGCTCAGAGACGTGGAACTCACTACAGTCACCGCCTTCTGTAGCAATGAGGACACTCATCTCAAGATTTAGCAGACTGTCTCACATTCCAGGGTATTCCTGCTCAGGTCAGCGTCGCAGCCATCTGTTTTGTTGATCGAAATCGTTGGCACTTTACCCATTACCTGACCTTTGACATCCCTACAACTGATTATCTCTATAGGGCCCACCGTGTCATCAAACACCAGGCTGAGTTTCTTACAGTTATCTGCTGTAATGGAGTGAATTCTGCCCTTGATGTGCAAGGTCGTGTTGACACACTTGTATATGTAAGTCACCTGTTTCAGCTCTGTGTCATCAATCACCAGGTTGGAAACTGTCTCCTGATTTTCTACTCTCTGCTTCTTGCTCTCTGGTTCACGTAGAGCTGGTTGCTGCTTTGTGGCTGGTTGAGGGGATGGGCTGACCCCTGGTGTAGGTGAAGAGAATGGTTTGGGGCCATTTCGTGCTGGACCACTCTGAGCCTGCGGGGCAGGGTTCTTGTGAGTCTCCATGTCCTTAGACACATGTCTTAGGGCATGTAAAATGCTTAGTTAATCTGCAAAATCTGCTCTGGTTAATCTGCATAAACAGTGCTGAGTGTGAAGCAGTCATCTGACCTGAACTGTAGGCGTTGGTGAGGGAGGTGGGCCTGGTGCAGGGGGAGAGAGAACTTCGTCACAGGCCCATGTTGCTCCAGGCCAGACC